CGATATATGGCGTCATCAAATGCAACTCGGTGGCCCTCAGCATATCTTGGGTGATGACCCTGCTTGCATTTTGGAGAACGCCGATTCTACCGAGACGATGTCCGTAGCGTCTCTGTTTAGAAATCCACCTTGAGCGGCGTTCGCAGGTTGCTTACAGCATGCAGAGTGCCCGCTCTCTCTGCTGGGGGAGACCAGCCAGAGTCTCTGGTTCACATGTTATAAACGAATCTTGGCTTATCCTTGGGTAATTTAGCCACTCCCGCTTCCTGAGCAAGGAAGGAACAAGGAAGGACGAGAGCCAGCATGGCGTCGTGGTGAAGAGCTGGGACTGGGACTCGGGTGATCCAGGTTCGAGTCCCCGCCCAGCCGTGGAGCCAACTGGGTGACTTTGGGCCAGTCACGGACTCTCAGCCCGACCGACCTCACAGGGTTGTTGTTGTGGGGATAAGATGGAGGAGGAGAATGATGTAAGCTGCCTTGAGCCCTTTGTAGGAAAAAGGCAGGATATAAATCGGGAAATAAATAAATAAAATGTGTGCTGCCGTCATCACAATAACTCATCATTTTTTAAACATCTGGTTTATTGTGATGTGTGAAAGGGATAAGAAAAGATACTGGCCTCTTTATCTCTGCTTTTAATTCAGCTGGATAACCACTTTTGTGCGTATCTCTTCATGATTTTTTCACTGTGCAAGGAAAATCTGAAATAAGTGCTCAGTCATGCTGAATCCTGCAGCACACTTCAGATTTATCAAGTTTTCTTGACAACAGCCTTGACAAAAGAAGTTTTTTAAACGCCATTCCTGTTCTCAGGATTGGTATTAGTGGTCTTTTATTTTCATTTCTTGAAAAAATTGAAAGCATGAGGATATTGTTCAAGACAGAACTTAGTTTTGAGAGCTGTTTGTTTGTTTGTTTCTAGCCCTCCCTCACATGACTGTGCTCAAAACAGCTAATAAAACCCACCTAAGATAAAACAATGGGCTTAAATTGATTCAGAATTACAAGAATAAAGATAAAAATCATGCTAGCATTTAATGATCTGATTAAAAACGAGGTCGGAGCATTTGCTCTTTTATCCGAACCACCACAGAAAGCAAAGTTTTTTGAAATTAGGGATAAGATTGGAGAGCTTCAACCCAACACCTCTCAGTTTAGGAACAAAGAATAAGATATTTGGTGCCTTTTTATATTTGACTCCTAGTTAGGAACATTTTGCAGTCTTTCCACAAGAGGACTGAAAATGCAGGCTTTCCTTGTATGGACCCAGAGCTTTAGTGAAAATACAAAACAAGGTTAATAGTTGGTACTTCTTAATCTTTAAAAGTGCTACTCGGCGCTGTCTTTCATGCCAAGATTCACGAGTCTTTTTATTGTAGCATATGTCAACAGAGAGTTATTCCATCTGCTGCTGCATTGCTTGTTGAGACACCGGGCACACGGCACAATGCTTACCTTTCAGTAATTACAGGTGTGCCGTGTGGAACCCAATGCATTAATCAGCCCCTTAATTATGGAAAAGGTGGGTCTTTTGTTCTGCCTTCGGAACAGGGAGTTTACCATCCACTTCATGAGCTCCAGCATCCATCTGCTCCTTCTCTGAGAATGTTTGCCTTGACTGATACTGCCCTTAAATTGTATCACGGAAAGTGATTAAAACCAGCTTGAACATTAACCTAACTGGTGTTTCGGAGGTGAAAAGGCTGCCTCCCGTGATGCTAAAATTTATTTGCCACCCCAACAGTATTTGTTGTAAAAAACCTCTGTCATGTCGAATTGGGACTACATAAAGGGAGTTTCATACTTCAGCCGTAGGAAAAAGTTGTCCTGTACGGCTGTCCCTTTTAAACAAGAAACAATAGGGCTTTTAGAGACCCTCACTGGAAAACCTACCTGGGGGGGGGTGTCTAGACCTCTGGTTTTAATTTTTGACAGAATGTTACAACCAAAAGTGATTTATTTAAAGCTTTTTTGATTAGCACAGTGCTCTCGGAACATAGATTAAAATATACCAAATAACACTCAATTTAAAAACAAATTTAATACAGACGTACCTTTCATAACACATCCTCATAACACTAAAATTTGACAGGTGAGTACAATTAACAAGTAAAGCAATGCCTAATAACGACCATTCCACATGTACCAAACAATTAAAAGCCAATGTAAAACCAATTGATCAACAATTAAATTGGCAGGAAAATAAGCGTTTTTACCCGGCACTGAAACAGGCATAATGCTGGTGCCAGGCATACCTCCCTGGGGAGCTCATTCCACAAGCGGGGTGCCACAGCCTACAAGGCCCTGCCCCGTGGAGCCACCATCTTTACTTCCATCAAAGGTGGCTCATGGAGAAAAATCTCCATAGATGATCAAAGGGTCCAGGCAAGGGTATACGGGAGGAGATGTTCCTTTAGATGTCCAGACCCTAAGCCCTTTTCATGTGACTTTTCAGCTTCTGTTTCAGTATGGTTTTCTAGAATTCCATATTTTGCTTTTTCTTGCAATCCACCGGCCAGGTTAGACAGCCATGGAGAAAGGATGGCACGGTGGCTTCTTTGCCCTGCCCACGTGTCCGGCTCCTGCCCTCTGTCATTTGCCCAGTTAACCCTGCCATGTGCCTCTTGTCACGGGGTCATAGCTTCTTGTGGGGTTTGGCAGTGGTTTGAAAGCCACTCAGCACATGTGGGGGCAAGGGAAAGGCGCCCCACCGTGCCCCTCCCCATGGACGTCTGGACCTGCCCGTTCTCCGGATGGTCAGCATGCAGAATGTCCTAGAGCAGGCAGCACGGCAAAATTCCCGGAGCAACAACCACAGACTAAACATATTGCTAATCAGAAGCCAGAACTTTCCCTTAATAATGCTTTTCAGCCTGCAAGGCTTAATGGATTTCTGAAATTTCAGCTGCTCCTAGGCAGTCAGAGGCAGAATGAAATTGAACTTGCCGTCCCTTTCAATTTGAAGCTGATTTTGAGTCAAGAAGGTGATACACCTGCAGGGCTTTCTGAGGCATGGGGGGAAAGCTCTCCTCCTATTTTCAAGTGAGGTTGTTTTGCCCCAACAGGGCCGAAAGTTACCTGGAAGGTAGCTTTGCCGAGTTGCCAGGAGAGTCCTGGGGGGAAAGAGTCTCCACAGAGTCCCCCTTTCGAGAAATCCACCTGCAAGGTCTGCGGGACTTGCTTTGCAGCTCAGCAGCAGAACAACATTCGCCCTCCTCCACATCCTTACCCAAAGATTGAGAGCATTCAAACAGGTGCAAGTAGACCTTTTCTGCATGAAATCCCCAAAAACGGCTGCTGGTCCAAGCAGACCAGCAGTTTGGCAAATTGTGGCCCTCTGGGGGCTTTGGCCTACAGCTCCCATGAACACACATTAGTGGCTGATAGGAGTTGTAGGCCAAATCTTCTGGAAAGACCCTAAGCTGTCCACCCCAGAGTAGGCCATGCTGAGCTTAACTCTTTGATTTGATTTTAAAGGTTTGACTTATTTTTGTGACATTGCGCTACTCCGTAAATGCCGGAGGCAACGTACAGTAAAAATACAAAGATGAAAGTACAGAAAAATGCAGTGCATTTTAAAAATAGGAATTATTGAGAAAAACAAAGAATGGCATTACGTATTAAATGATTAGCAGAACCGTATTATCTTCACCAGCTCTTGAAAAGACTGGGAGGCTCATGCGATGAGGCGGCATATAAGTTGTTTAAATAAATAATAAATAATAAAATAAATAAATAAAACCTCCTTGGGAAACACATTCAGTTGCGTTCCTGCTACCCACAAACTCTGTTACAAATACCTATCAGCCTCATCTCCAGGATATTAATAGGGACCAGCAAGTATTCACATATCATGATAGTCCTCTATTGGTTACACTGGCTGCCAGTTGAAGTCCAGGCCCAATTTAACATGCTGGTGATGATCCACACTGTCCTAAACAGCTTGGGGCCAGGATACCTGAAGGAGCGCCTTCTCCCCTATGTGCCCTCCCGCCCCTTGAGATCTGGGGCAGAGACCCTCCTCCGGGAACCATCCTTGAAAGAGATCAGGAGGGTGACTACCCGGAGGAGGGCCTTCTCGGTGGTGGCACCCTGGACCACGCTCCCCGGAGAAGTTTGCCTGGCACCAGCACTTTATGCCTTTCAGCGTTAGGTGAAACCCTTTTTATTTTCCCATTATTTTAAGCTTTAGTTGGTTTTAACCAGGGCTTTTATCTCGACTTGCTGGAAGCTGTGTTTGTTTTACTATTTTATTTGTTCCTTATTGTAAGCCATTCCGAGACGTCAGTGGTGGATGGGGTACATAAGTTTTGTTATATATTTTTCAAAAACCTGCTTATTTTAGGCTTGTGCCCGGTGCATATGAAAAAAATCTTTATTTAATTTTATTTATTTATTTAAAGTTTTTATATGCCATCCCAATGCTAAAAGTCTCTGGACGGCTTACAAAAAATAAACAAACAAAAAAGCGATCATAACAATGACAACACACAGCACACTGTGTGCGACATATAATGATGAAAACCAAGATAAAACCAATTAACTGTTAAAATATTGGGAGAATAGAAAGCTCTTCTTTACCCCTGTCCAGTCCAGTCCATCAAAGCGGCATTTCTCTCTGCCCTGCGGCGTTTGCCTCCCGTTCGGTGGTTAAATATTGGTGGGAGAGCCAGTGTGGTGCGGTGTGGAAGAGCTGGGACTGGGACTCGAGCGATCCGGGTTCGAGTCCCCGCTCGGCCATGGAGCCAACCAGGTGATTTTGGGCCAGTCACAGACTCTCAGCCCAGCCTACCTCACAAGGTTGTTGTTGTGAGGATAAGATGGAGGAGGAGAATGATGTAAGCTGCCTTGAGTCCTTCGTAGGAAAAAGGCAGGATATAAATCCAAAAACAAATAAATAAAATGTTGCCATCAACCCAAAAAAGCTGCTAGTTCCAGCCACCTTTTCACAAGATTAGCCGTGTTTTAAATTAAAAGGCCAACTTTTCTCTCTCCCTCAGGATGTTTTAAATACTATCGTAAGACACTGCACCCCCTCCTTCTTTTTCCTGGGGTTACCCGGCTTCACCTTGCTCATTGGAGACTTCGTCATGGCCGCAACCAGAGTTTTGAGTAGAAGCATCTTGGACGTAAGTATGACAATGTTCAGTACCCATGTGCCTGTGAGAGGGCACAGTTGTCAGACGGGTTCGGATTTCTGTGCTGCAACAGGTGTGTGCTCATTAGTGCAACGCGAAACTGGGCCGTTGGGGCCGACACCGTGGCAGCTGATGTGTGAAATTGCAGGATAAGGTGACATCGGAGTATCGCAAAAGGTGTTTCATCAAAAGGACAAGATGTGAGAAATCTTATCCTCACTAATGCTGCCGCACATTTGCACTCTAAAAGGAAGGCTTGGGTTTCAGAACATTATTAGGTTTTCTTGCAATATATGAATATTGCAACTTGCTCGTTCTAACATGTGGAACGTATTTCGTGCTGTAAAAGATTGGAGCAATGGAAAGCAAGACTTAAAAAAAAATAAATCCATAGTTCTTATTTGCAATTATTGAACTAGGCATAAGATCCAGGTAGGAAACCTTGAGAACTAAATTATCTGGAACTTAAAACTTTTTAGTGGCCAATATAACCCTTGAGGTTTATGTGGTACAATTCTAGAAGGGAACTGTTCAGCAATATATATTTAATAGCCTGTTCCATTAAAAAAAACTTACTCTATTTCATAATTTGAGAGAAGCAGCACTTTTTGTTCTATTCAGATTTTTGACATACTAGAAAAATAATTGGTTTCCTGTATAACAAGAACCTGCAGTACCAGCCAGCACTGAAAAATATTTTCAAGACACTCTTTACTTTCAAAAGTTATCAAATATCTGTTACTATACTTCTCCTGGAAATGAGTTGTTGGTCCCTATTAATTTGGCATTTTATGCCAGCAATAAAATACTGGAACTATGAAACTTTGACTGGTTTAAGTAGTGCTGTGACCCCTTTGAGAAGCCTTCCTTTGCCTGGTTCTCTCCAGATGTTCTGGATATCAACTCTGATTAGCCCCAGCCAGCATGGCCAATGTTTAGGTTCCCTGGGAATTGTCTGAAACATCTGGGGGGTGGGGGGAGCATTGGGTTGAAGAAGGCAGCCCAAAAGATGAGCACATTTATTCCAGCATGAATTTGTGGACTGCAGACCAACAATGTGCTGCGAAACGTTTCTTAGCGTTCAAGGTACCTAGAAGAACCTTTTGCTGCAACAGACTAACGGAGCGTGCCCCGTCTGAAAGACTGGCTATCAAAAATTGGAAGGGAAGGCAAGATAAACTAAATTGTGATGAATACGGAAGGGTTCTTCCAAAAGCTGAGAAAGGGAGGGGGCAAGCGTGCCAATGTGGTGTGGTGGTGAAGAGCGCGGGACTGGGACTCGGGAGGTCTGGGTTTGAGTCCTCTCCCATGTGTCCTGTCACCCCCTTCTTTCCCTCCCTATTGGAAGGGTCAAAGCAAAACCTTAGAAATGCCATTCTTTCATTGAAACGTAACTGGTTCCAGCACAATAGCAGTCTGAGTAGAACCCAATTTGAGAAGTGGAAGAAGCATCTGCCCATGTAACGAGTAAGGGCCCACCCTTCCCTCCCCCTCTGGCTCCACTTTCAGGGTGCACCTTCTGGGCACTTGCTAACTGGGCTGCTGGCTTCGTTCGTTGTGTCCTGACCAAGCGACTCAGTTTCTGCTGCCTCTCTCCGTTCCTCAGGCAGGCTAGTTCTCATGTTTATAAACTTCACTAGGTAACCTTGAAACTTCTAAGTCCTCTGCCCACCTGTCCCACTGCCCTGAAAATCTATCTGAGCAGACCCCTATGTGTGTGAGAGAGAGCTTCCCCACATGTTTTAGCCAGAAGAGCCAGTGGTGAGGCAAGATAGGACTTGTAGGGCAACACATTTGGAAGGCTGGAAATTGGCCGCCATGTTGTTGAGCTGTGCCATGTGTTCGGAGATTCTTGTTGCTGATTTCTAGTACTAAACAATGTGCCAACACTTCTCAAGTCCTGTTTAGTCCGGCAGACCACCCCACCACCCGATCCTGAATGCTATCCTTTGTGGTATTATTTTATTTAAAAATGGAAAATAAAGGAAATATATTCGCATTCATTTTGTTACAAAGAGAAATACGAACGCAAATGAACTTTGTGTTTCATTGGAACTTGTGCACTGTTCATTTTTGTTCTCATTTCCATTTGGATGAAAAATTCCAACAGTCTGAAGCAGCTTATATAGGGGGTAGGGAAGAAAACAGGGTAATTTTCAGATACAAAATGGGGACCTATTGTCCAAGCTAGCTGAAATTTGGCAGAGCTAATTCTTCGTATTCATAGTACGATGACCTCGTGTCGTCTGGATGGAGAACACCAACGCTGCAGACATCAGATGACTGGCTGGGCCTCCCATTGAAAGGAACAGAAAACAAAATGATGCAGAGCAGAAAACACATGAATGCAGTTCAAGCAAATGGGAAATGAAATTCTCTGCACTTTTAAAATGAATGATGAAATGAACTGAATTTTTTTCTTGTGCTCTCCTTTGCAGACAGTACCATTTTCAAGGGGGAGCTTGATGCTCTTTCAGAGGTTACAGGGTTAAGATAGGAAAAGATAAATACAGTTGTTCCAATCAATATAAACCCCTTTTTCTCTGCAGTGTATTCAAATACTGTTGGGTTCCAGGTGCACAAGTGGAAGGTGTCTGGCACAAGCAGTCATTCTCCAGCCTCGAATTTCCCTAAGATCAATCATTCAGAAATGAACTGTATTTAACAACAAACCCTAACTTTTCCGTCAAAATTCCCCATCAAGAAGCAGTTCTCTCTGCTTCACACGCACTGCCGCAGAAAATGTTCTTAGGTTTTTATAAGAGCAATATGCATATCGTAATTGTTAATTTAGTACAACTGGACAGAACCAGTTGAGGGGGTCAAGCACTTCCGTGCTTTAGTTACCTGAACACCACAGGAATTGGAGGGAATCCTTTTATCGACCATTTGTCGGTTCCTAATTTTGAACATGGGTATATACAGAGTGCCAGAATATATGAAATTTCCAGAGATATAGGAAACGTCCAGATGCCTTGTAGTGTACCTGCATGTGCTTCATGATACATATATACTTGTATTTTGGCTTACAGGCGCCTCGCTTAGAAGCTCACACCATTCTTGGGTCTCTGGTTTGCTTTCCCAATCTCTATCAAAAAATCTCGCTGTTCCAACCCATCGCTGAAGCAGAAATCACGCCAGGAACTACAGATGTCAAAGTAAATATTTTCTCTGTTAGCTGATCTGAATATTATTATCCTTACTGAATATAGCCAGTAAGAAGCGAGTTTTCTGCAGTAGAAGAAAGATGGTGCCAAAGTACAGTCAACCAGCATGGGAAAAGTCTTTTATTGGGTCTTTTCAGAGAGAATGCCTAGGCAGCCACAAGTCCTTTCTGGAGCAGGTTTTATGCACATGGATACTTCATATTTCCTTAGAAGCACCACCCAAGTGCCCCACAGCAACAAATTTATTGGGGAGGGGAATGTATGCGTAGATAAGAGATTCAGTAGCAAAAGCACGGCGCTGACTTTCTCAGTCGAACAGCAAAACAGACAACAAAAGAGAGAGAGGACCACCCTACCAAGCGACGTGTGTGAGTTCACACGTATACAGAGATCCACCCATTATGGCTGAGCAGTGACTCAACGGGAATCACATGCAGGTGATTTCAAAACTAGGGGAATCTGTTGGAAGTATAAGAGTAAAACTATGTACAGTTCATGCTTTTGGAACATAGCCTGTTGCTGGGAGCAGATTTAGTTCTTCTATAAAAAGCAAATGAATTTATATTAATCATATGAAAGTGAAACCAAGACTTGGTCCTAATGTTGGGGAGATCAGCTCAACAAAGGGCTACCATGCATGGAAGATCTGGCTGCATCCGACTATGTTTCCAAGAATGTTCTGGCAGCAGGGGCTGAGGAAGCCGAGAGCCCTAACACTGCTGCGGGAGGAAGAGAAAAAGATCTGAGATGAGAGAGAGATTTCTTGGAATATTTGCAGAGAGGGCTTTTCCACGGTTTGACCTGTGGTGCAGCTTGGATTGTTGTTTCCCCTTGGGTTCCTCTAGGTGCAAAATTTAGTGGCTATCTGGGAATGGGAAATTGCCTTAACTTTTAGAATTTTTCCAATGAGCTTCACTCATCGCTATTTGATAATAAAGGTAATTATTTTACAGATAAAATGGCAAAGAAACCAGATAATATATTTCAGATAAGCCGCTTGTAAACTGTCTTCCCCCACCCCTATTTTAGTTACAGTTGAGTGAGTTTGCCTCTCATTATCTTTGAAGAAAGATCTTTCAGAATAGGTGGGAAATGTCATTGCTAAACTTCTGTGCATCATTTGGAATCCAGTGTCCTTACTTCATCCAATCCATGTTTATATTATTTAATTCCATTCGGTTATGTCAAATTCTTCTGCATAGTGTTTGTGAGAGGTAAAATGCCTGTCACTGTGATTTCTGTTCTAGTGTTACCTCATAAATATTCTTTTGAAGAATGCCACAGATGAACCAAGCGAAGCTTCAAGGTAAAATACTGAGTAGAACAGAAAATATTATGGAATATAAATTGAATATATTATCCATGTGGGAAGTTCCTTGAGATAGAATGTGCTAAAATGACCTTGGGCGCTGGTGCTGAAGGGTATCCTTATGCCCAAGAAGCTAACTATGGTCCAGAAGGCCTCTTGGGTCCATCCAAGGGCATAGAAGGCCATTCTGCCTCCACTCATGTGGGTGGATGGGCGACAGCACGAACATGGTGGAGCAAATGAGAATGATTGGCTGACCAAAAGGTGGCCACTCCCTAGATCAGTGGCTGGGAGGAGCATTTACCACAGATGTGAGAGGACAGCCAATCTCAACACTGGGGCAATCCGGATTTCGTGCTTATTGTAGACCTGAAAATTAAAGGACACCATTTGTCCATTACTGAATGATGCATATTTTTGGTTTGTTTTGAAGGTGCTTAGCTGTTTGCTGTCTTGGGCTTTGGATATGTGAAGAACTAGTGCAGTGTACAAGCCATCCTCAAGTAAAGGAAGCCATAAATGTTTTAGGTGTAACACTAAAGGTATGGATACGACGAGGGTCTGTGTGACTTGACTGGATGCATCTGTTCAGTTAGACCGAAGAGAATTCCAAATATTTAATAAAATATTCTAAGTCATGTGGAAAATTCTAAGCTTCAGGCTCTTATGCAGTTTTTGAAAGCTTCCAAAACAGAGCGCGTGCTGCTGTACACTTAAGACAAACAATTATTTGGTTTTCCCAAGGGAATAGCCACATTGGTTTCCTGTAGGAAAAACTGCAGAGAGGCTTGTGATAGCTGAAAGACTAACACAATTATTTTGGAATAAACTTTGTGTCTCAGAATGCACTTCTTCAGAAGCATGGGAGGTCAAGGGGACAAGGTCAAGACAACCTTTCATGCACCTGATAAACTTATTTGTTGACTCATGTCTATCAGAATTCCTGGGCCTGAGACTACATTGCAAAAAGGGTAATTTGGCCTCTGTGTACATTCCTGTTTTCAGAAGTAGCAGGGAACCTCAGTCCTGACGTCCTGGTGGTTAGGAGGCTTAAACTCTCAAAGAGATCTCCCAAAGATCTCTCAAAGAGATCTTATGTATTACTTTTAATTGGGCTGAGAGACCTTAGCTTTCCAGTCTTTGTGTCAGAAGCTCCTTGGCTTGACATTTGAACCCTCTGCTCCTGTTTGTAGCCGAGAAGAAGTTCAGCTCCAGATGTTGAGCTGCCTTTCTTGCTCCCTCTTCCAAGGACCACCTTGTCTGGCCCCATCTTCTCTCATTAAAGCGGCAGCTGTGCCTCCAGAAGTCCTGCAGCAGCTTGCAAGGGTGGGGAGACGGGCTGGGTTGTTCAGGTCCACCATCACATCTCGTCCTCTGCGGTTCTGAACAGTAACCACCTGCACCGCCACGTGGCTTGCTAGGCTCCGTTGCAGAGCTGCGGGGTTCTGCTTAGTGGCGTTAATGCCGCACGCTGCTAGCAAGGGTGCCCCAAAGTGTGAACAGGACCTGAGAGGGCTCAAGCGCCTCCCCTTTTATTTCAAGCACAGGAGGAACCCAAGGCTTCCACTTCAGGTGCATCCAGTCCAGAAGGTGCCTCTGGGTCGGGAAGATCTTTGTCATCGTAAATACAGATGGTGTGTGGAGTCCGCCATGCCCAACAGGGGCATGAGCCCAAGTGCATCTGGCCTGATTTTTACCTTTGGAGGCCTCTGTAATGATGCTAATTGTAAAGCTGGTAAATTTATTTGGTTTATGTTAAAGGAATGTTCCCAGTCTGTTCACACTGCCTTTACTTTTGTTTCTTATGAGCTTATTTCTTGGCCTTTACAGTTTCCTAACAAGCAGACTGCGCAAGAAGCATGCAATGTCTTTCAGTTGCTGACGTTGTACTGGGAAAAACTTCAGGATTACCAGTCTTCTCTGCCCAGAAAGATTGTTGAAGTAGGTTCATCTGGCAAACGTGTAGATAGTCATTGGCAATAAGCTACCATTGGGAGAACATCTCTCTTCTTTCTTAGTCCTTTGTTCAGCTCGACAGTTTTACAAAAAGACAATACTTGACTGGCTTCTTCTCTTCTTCTGATGCCTCTTGATAGGGTCTAAGAAGCCCCCCTCAATCTCTTCCCCTCCCTGTTCTATTCCTGAGCCAAGGCAGTTTGGTCCTCTTGAGTACTCTCCCATGGTGCCTTTTCCATTGTTATTTATTTTTCAATATAGAATACAATTTTTAAAAGCTACAATTAAACAAAAACATGGTGCCTTAAACAGTTCAGAGGTCAGTGCTCATTCCCACTCCAGCTCAGAACTAGCAAACAGGGAAGACTCTCTTCTAAAGGCTTGGCCTCATCCATGTAGTTACGGTTGATTTATCCACAGAACTGATGATCGAAGCTGGAGAATGCATTTTCTAGAATATTCTGATGGAGCACCATAAACCTCTTAAGTAATGAGGTTGCTGTGGAGTGCAGAAAATACTTAAAGGAGCTGTAAAACATTTTTAGCAAATCTCAATCACTTCATTTTCCACATCCTTCTAAACAGGAGTGAGTTAAGTGAGCGCTGCATCTTTTTCTCCCCTCCCCATCATTAAACATTCAATATAATTACGTCGCTAAGCTGTTACAGGTATGATTTACCCTTATTAAAATGAATGGGGAAGTCAAACTACCAAGCACCTCAATTAACTGGTGTGCATTCTACTGCCAGCAACTTGATGGAGTATAGTAGAGAAATCTTAGCATTTTGCCCACATCGTAAATTACTTTTCATGTATGCGGCTATCCCACTTCAGGGACCCTGGGATAGATTTTTGTGGCAGGGAGGTGTTTAAGGCTGAGCATCACTATGTGTGCATTTTAAATTTAAATTGTTTTATATTCAAAGGGTTACAGGAATCCATTGCATCTTTGGAGTAAAATTTACTTCTTCTACAAGTTGGATAAATGTAGGTTAACACCTTGATAGTGCACAACTTACAACAGTGACTTTTAAAATTTATAATACCACCTTTTGAAAAAAAAAAAACCCATATAAGGCTATTGGGATTCACTGGACTCCTTCCATTATTTTCTGAAAGCCCTGCATTTCAATTTCTCTTTTTTCTTGTTAACATTGTTAAATCCCGTATACCCAAATAGGTTACTCCTATAGTTTTTGGGCTAGACTTTGTTTTTTGGAACGTGATACCAATGAATGCTACCTTTTAACTTTTAGTCATTCTGTAATCAAATCCTATCATTATTTCCTGCTATGATTTCAAAGGAGTCTATTAAAGCCAAATTAGTAGTGTCTCCCAAAAATGGTGGGGGAAGAATTAAGTTATAAATATTTTAATAAGAAGCTTACAGATAAAGTGATATGTTTAACTTTATTGGTATTTGGGAAAGTTTTGGTCTAATAATATAGGAAATTATTGCAAGTACTATTACATTGAATTATGCAAAGTAAATAGATTTGTGTGATATTTGATTAATTTGTGGGGGGGGGGGTTCTCTGGGAAACACTGGTAGATTTGTTCACATTTCTGAGGTACTAGAGAGGTGGACAGGAAGGAGAATAATAGCAGATATTTGGGAGATATTAGATACACATTTTATGACACAGTAACTATTTAAACGTGTTTTTGTAACCCACCCAGGGAGCCGTATGGCTAATAGGCAGGTTAGAAATCTAATAAAGCTTCACTCAAACTTTTGAGACCAATTCTGGCTTTTGACTGGTGTGGGGAACAAAACATTTCTGCAAATTTATTACTCTGAAATTGGTGTTACACAGATCCTTGTCGCCACCATCGCGTTCCTGTTGCCCGGTGCAGAGTACTCCTCTGCAGAAAGCGATAAAAAGGTACGTAAAACTGAATCGCCATCCATGTGGCACTGATACTGTGCTTCGTAGCATGAAGGTCATGTTCCAGCAATGCTCCCACCACAAACCAATGTGGTTCAGTTACGTATTCCGTCCATTTCTGAGAGTAACAAATCGATCTGCACTCCGGTGCTGTGAAACTCTCTTCTCAATCAATTCAGTTCGAATAGCTGATTGCCACTATTTTATGCAAGATGGGGGAGAAAGTGCAAACTCGAAACAGGCATTCGGCCATTTTCGTAGTCTTGGGCTTTGGGCTCAGCTCAAAGCACTGTGCCTGCCTCACCCGTTTGACTTCACATGTCTCTTTGGTTGTATCAGGATTTTTCTGTTTTCTAAGTAGGACTAATATGTTCTCTAAATTCCCGTTTTAGTTCATCGTTTCATTATTACTTTGCTTGCTGGACTGGTGCATGGTGTTACCGGTGAAGACGCTGCTAGAACCTGTACTGAATTCCAGTCTTGAGGACCAGCATCCCTTTAAAGCTTGCCTGCTCGATTACATCTATAGAGTAAGACTCATTTCTGACTACATTTCATGCTGTCGCTTAGTTACACTGTTTCTGATAAGCAGGTGCAATAATGAAACAAAATGGTAAAATAGTCCATGTTAGTATGAGACAGATGTGGTCTGCTTTTGAACTAGGCTTAATTAATAAACCTACCATTCATCTTGATCACAAAAGTGAATAACTGATATTATCAGCTTGTTCCAATCCCTTGTATCACTGAATTCCATTCTATAAATTTTTTAAAAAATCAGTAATTTGAATTAGAGTTGCCCCATTGACATTCTGACACATACGTTATTTTACTGTGAGATTATTTTGTTGATTTATTATGAGATTTTAACTGTATTATTTTAATGCTATTTGTTGATTTTATACTCTAATGGGAGCCCAGAGAGCATTTTGCTAATGGACGGCTTTTAAGTTTGATAAATTAATAAACTAACAACACATAAACAGCGGGGGAAAGTACAAGAAGTGGCATTGTCCATTAGTGCTTGTGCAGTTGTGAGTGTAACACAAGCGACACAGCCTGTGGAATAAATTGCGCTGCGGCTTTTGAAACCACCGGTAGCTTATGAAGCTTGTGAAACAGCCAGCAGCGTGTTTTGTGAAACAGCTCATGGAAGCAGAAGCAAGGAACTGGATTCCGCACTTGCGCAAAGAGGAAAGCAAAGGTTCCGCAGGCAGTGAAAGCTTTGGGCAAACAGAGTAACATAGAAACAGAGCGAGTCAGAAGGGCCTCCCGGGCCATCTAGTCTGACCTCTGGCACCAGCCGGCTCAGCTGGACATGGTTCATTCATCACTCAGAGCTAAGCTTGCGTGTCAGGAACGCGAACCAGTGGGGTCTTCACCTGAGGCTGGGCTCCAGCCAGGTGAACTACCTGGGGCTGTGCGTTCCCCTGCGTGGGACCTGAATCACGCATCGAGGAAGCAGAAGGATTGGGGGAGCGTGATGCATTCTGGGTCAGCCGAACTCCGCATCAGTGTCAGAAGCTTGTCTTGCCTCGTCTGTTCAGCAGAACTGTTGCTCACCTGCTGCCCTTCCCATCTACCTGAAGCTGCCACCTGTAGTCCTAGTGGCCAGGTACGGGCTTCCCTGGCTGCGGAATACAGCCTCACAGCCTGGTTTTGGACACAGGGACCCATGCCCCAGTCGAGCTCCGCCCTAGCCCTGCTCCTCTAGATCAGGGGTGCTCAAACTAAGGCCCGGGGGCCGGATCCGGCCTGCCATGCCCATTTGAACCCCCCGCGTCCATGCACGCGCCCACCTGGCCCTGCGCGCTGGGGGGGCAGTGGTTTGCTCGCTCGGAGGAAACAACCTCCAAGCGAGCAAGCTGCTGCCTCATGCGCCTGCCCGCCTCCCGCCCACCCACGCCTCGCCTCGCCTCGCCACGCGCCACGCCCCCACCTCTGCTCATGCGCCCGCACACACCACCTCCGCCCCCTCACCGGCCCATGTGCACTGTCACCTTTCAACTGGCCCCCTGCTGGAAAAGTTTGAGGACCCCCTGCTCCAGACACTCCACTCCTGCCAGTGGTGGAAGTGTTACTCTGTGTTACACCTGCCTGGAAAGATTTGTTTCCTCTGTTGTGGTGTATTTTATGTGTGAAGTAGAACTGGCGTGCCAGAGCCTCCCAGCAATCTGCCAAGCCTTGGCCAGATCAGACGACAGTCCATGTGCTCCTGTGTTTTCTCATGTCTCTTTCCTTAAAGCAAAAAGGAAGGCTGCTGCCTGCTAATGAGGACAGGAAAGTGAGTGAGGGCAACTCCTGCAGGAGTGCACATCAATCGCGCTTCAGGTGCTCAGCTGGAAGGCACCTTGATGCGGCCGCCGTGAGCTGAAGGATGATCTCCGTGCGATATTTTCTGCAATGCCCTGTTTCTAATGCGATTTGGTTTTTTCCCCAGATCCTGCACAGTTGCATTCATGGTTCAAGCACTTACACTCAGCAAAGCCATTACCTCTTAAGCCTGGCCGACCTCTCCAGCGATAGCTACGATCCGTTCTTGCCGCTAGGGAATGTCAAGAATTCTGAGCCCGTTCCGGTTCACTCTTCTGCAGATCTGAATAATTTGCTCACTGTTGCTGAAGGTAACCAATGGTTTGGAAAGGAAGGATGCATTTCAGCCCATGGAAACAGTTCAGTGCAGCCAAGGGCCGCTGGCTGGTGGCCGGTGTGCAGGGTGAGCCATGTGAGGAGAGGCTGAGGGAGCTGGGGCCTTTCAGCCTGGAGAGGAGGAGACTCCCAGGGGACCTGTTAGTGACCCTCAGGTACGTGAGGGGGTGCCACGCAGAGGTGGGTTGTGACCTTTTTCCCCCTGCGGTGGAGGGCAGGATGCGCTCCAAGGGAGCCAAGCTCAGGGAGCCAAGGTTCCATTTGGATGCCAGGAAGTACTTCGTGATGGTTAGGACCCCCAGGGTATGGAATGGGCTTCCTCAAGAGGTGGTTGAAGCCTCAAATGGCGAGGGTGTTCAAGGATTGGCTGGACATGCACATGGTAAGCATGTCATAAGTGGAGCCGGCTGGAGCCGGGGTCAGACTAGATGGCCCGGGAGGCCCCTTCTGATTCACTCTGTTTCTATAGAACTCTCTGTATGAGAAAAGCCCATGTTTTGCAAGACCTCTGTCTGGATTCAGCAATAGCTGAAATCAGTATGCGCTGGAATATCAGAAGGCCTCATTGCTTCAGTCCTTGCTGTAAGGACCGCTTCCTCCCCACACAGGCGGCCTCTCTTCTGTCCACCCAATACCCACATTCCAGCCCCTCTCTGCCCCCATCCTCAGTCCTGTCTAGGGGCCAGTGGACTTTTAAGTGGGGTTTTATTGTCAGTTGAATTTTTTAGGACACTGTGTTTTGATTTATTTTGTCTTATTGTTAAACCATCCCGAGCCTTCGGTGAGGGACGGTCTAGAAAAGTTTTACATAAAGAAATAAGGTAATAAATGAAATGTTCACTTTCAGAAAAGAGGAGAAGGAACATGGAGCTGATTCCGTTGACGGCACGAATGGTTGTGGCACACCTGGTGAACAATCTGAGTCACTACCCCTTGAACGGAGGGCCTGCGGCACTTCACAGTCTCGTGAGCGAGAACCACAACAACTCTTACGTGGAATCTTCCGAACTCTCCTCCGAAATCTTCCGCAGCCCGAACCTGCAGCTGTTTGTCTTCAACGATAGCACCCTCATATCTTATCTCCAGATTCCTTCAGAAAAAGGGGAAGGGGATGAACCAGCCAGAAGCTCCTGGGAAGTAAGAGTGATCGTGAGGGACATCTCAGGGAAGTATTCCTGGGACAGCCAGCTGATGCACGGGCCGTTAGCTAGCTGCCTCCCAGATCCAAGTAAAAGAAAATCCCCTGCCATTTCCGACAATCATAAACAGAACTTGGAGTCCCCGGTGGACTTCATTCAAATATATGAAGGAGAAGATGCCCTCAATGCGTTGCTGGAGCGGATCGGCAGTAGCAGTCCCGAGTGCCTTCTGTGCCCGCAGCTGAAGCTGAACGAGCCGTCGCCGCCGCCGTGCGTCCTGAGCCAAGATCAGGAGAAGGGGATCCTGGAAGCCATCCTGCACCAGCACGGCACAGAAAACGAGTACTTACGCGGGGGCAGCTTGAACATCCGGATGCAAGTTGAAAGGCAGAAAGAACCAAGGCCTACAGCTCAAGACGCCCCGTTCCATTTATGCAGGCTTTTGCTAAATGACCTGGGAATGAATTCTTGGGATAAAAGGTATGTTTCGTATTACTGCTCCGGGTATTAGAAATAATGCAACGTCCTCCTTAAAGAGCAGTCTCCATTTTCAGCAGTGCAGCCCTCCTGAGGGAAAGCCAGAAACGCTTTGGGCGTTGAGATAGAGTGATTATTCCTGCCCACCAAGGCTAATTCCTTGTGCATCATTGGCTGGAGCTCATTCCGGGCACTCCTCCTTATTCTTGGATTTGAATAGCCGGTTATCTTTCTTTTCTACTTTTTATCTTTCATTCTGCTGCCGTCCACATGAGTATTGACAAAGGGTAGAGAAATGGGAAGCAATGAAGGAAAGTTAGCACAACCCAACAGGGGCTGCTGTTTCTAGTCATCTGTCTAAAGGATCAAAAGGGTGCCCAAATATTGCCATGGTACCCCTTCTGGATTTCTTTGGATGAAGAAGTACAACCTGGGTTGCTTTAAACAGCCCTCTGAGTGGGATGGTGTGAATATGGGAGTCCTGCAACAGCAGGGGTTTGGACTCAACGGCCTTCTTGGCCCCTTCCAAATCTACCATTCTTGGATTCAGTAAAACTGACCAAGGGCATGACAGTTAATAAGCTTAGCTCAGAAAACTACCTAAGAAAGTACTTGAAAGGACTAATATCGGATACATTTGGTTAGTCTCAGCTTCGAAACTTTAGATAGCAATGCACACAGCCACAAAAAGATAGGCGCCTCCCTCACTTCTTCATATCTTTGCAAAACAAATAATCAGCACTTTGGTTGGAAGGGACTTACCCACTGTATGTTCTTAATTGGAATTAGCGGGATAAGACCATCACCCTAATTTAGAAAAAGAATGTATCGTTGGGTATCATCCTGTGCATATTGAGGCAGAAAAAGGTCCCACTATTCCCAGCTTGCATCAGCCAATATGGCTTGGTGCCCATGTTGAGGATTTTCCAGGCAAGTCCAGGGTTGGTCCGTGTTTTGCCCATGCGAGCCGGATGCCTCGTGCCCAAGTGTTTCCCAGAGATGCCGCTGGCATGAGAAATGGAATCGGAAAAGAGTTGAAGAACTTTTAAAACCTCTGCCATTTTTTAATTGTAAGATTTTGGCATTTGCAAAAATTGCAAAATGTAAACGTTTTCATCCAGTGATAGAAAAAATTAAGTTAAATATCATGATTTTCATGTAGCTTTCCCACTGTAATGTATGTTCTGCTTTTCTCTAGAAAAAGCTTTCATCTACTGAAGAAAAATCCTAAATTATTGAGAGAGTTGAAAAATTTGGACTCCAGGCAATGGTGAGTTAGTTTTGTGTCTATGGCATTTGGACTCCTGCTGGCTAATGGTTATTACATATAGAATTTACTATTTCATGTTTCTAAAAAACTAAAATGCCTTTAAACTTTCAAAAGCTTTAAATATTAGTTTCATTACTGCCTTGTTCAATTTAAGTAGGAAATATAAATGAATAATTATACAGAAATTCCATATTACCATACATTTGATCCTTGGAAAGTAGAGGATCAATTCACAAACTAAGTTTGAGGTAGGTCTGGGTTGGAAAATTCAGGATTTGGGGCACTAAAAGCTTGCAGCTTTTTGAATTGCTGTCCAATAAGTCACCTCCTATATAAGCATATTTGACATGTATTTTTGCTTTCAGTTAAAAAAGAAATAGCATACAAATAAGAAAAGGAAGAATATATATATATTCACAGAAAGGAAAAAGAATACCAAAGGGATATTACGGAAATATAGCATATAATTGCAACCTTTTCATGAAAAAGCAAAAGTTTTTATCCCCTCTAGCAACACTTCATCCAATTAATCCTCATTTAAGGTCCATCAACAGATAAATCAAAATTTATCAAAACAGTTGTAAATGATGTCATAATTTTAGCATGGAACACATGTCTCTAATGATACTTTTACAAACTCTGTTTTCCTAAATATTAGTTGAGTTGCTCAAAATAAGCTTTCCATTTTTCATTAAATCCTTTAGCCGGTCTTTATTTGCATAATTAGTCAACTTCGCCATTATTGCATATGCATCCAGGTTATTTTTTAATCTTATTTTTCCAAACTGTAGCAGAGTATGTAAGCATGCTTAGAAATGGTGAAACATGGCCAGACGAATGCCTAGCCGAGCAGTTCAGAGTGCATGCAATTCACTGGGGCTGTGGCAAGGGCAGAGGGAAAGCGGAACGGCTCGTCTCCAGCCCAGTTCGGATGAGTATCTCTTCTCCAAGGGATATTACGGAAGTGCAGCATATAATTTCAAGCTGTGCATGACAAAGCAAAAGTTTCTCTCTCCCCCAAGCACTGGGAAAGGAAATGTCCCCCAATCCAGGCACAGTTTCGAAGGACACTTCAAGCAACATGTGCAGTTATGCCCAGAGCCGGAAATAAGAATTAACATGAAAGAGCACAGAGAAAGAGGCACTTTTAGTTTTTGGAGGACTTGGAGCAAGGCTGTTCATGTGCAGAAAGCTGAGCAAGTATCTCCCACCCTCAGACTTCAATCTCAGGCAATATATTTCGCTGGATTTTATTTGCTACTGCTGTGCTTTTACGACACCCCTGTGCATTTGGAGGGGAGAAATGATGCCTGCCGTCTGGACGCTGGCAATGAAATGCAGGTGCTCTGGGGAAGATCACCTTTAGGCCAAGTGCTGCTACTTAGCCGACCTATTAAATAATAAACTCCCCTCCTGCCTAGCAATGAGGCATATTTCAGAATCCATGTCGGAGCTGGGGATGAGCCATTACGGGATTATCAGTGGGCAGAAACGCGAGATGCTGGTGAACGCTCCACCTAGGAAAGTGGGAAGGATCCCAGAGAGAGAGAGGCGTCGGTTGCCAACACCATGCGAGCGAAGCAGACCAGTCTCCCCACTTCAGGAGTGCTTTTGGTCCCCTGGAAATGGCTGCCTGGGAAGCTCCCTTGTGTTGGATGCTTTGCAGACTTCCTGGGCCCAAAGGGGAGACAGCAAGATTGCAGGGTCTGCTCAGCCCGCTGCATGTAAATACGAGCATTGAAATTGGGCGAGGATGCCTCCCCACCCCTTCATCCCAAAACACGGTTTGGGTTTTGATGGAAGCAGGATTAACAATTTATTAAGGATTTGGGATGCATATAGAATGGGGGAAAGCTTCGTCAGGTTCTAAGCACACGACCACATGCCAAGGGGCAAATAGGTGGCAAAAGACAGATGAAAAGGGACGAATGCATTCAATTGAGCACAGCCTTGTGCACATTCTCTGCCTGGTTCCTTGAAGAGCCACGATGCCCCTAGCAAGGTTTTCCTCCCTTTGCTGGGAAAAAACTACACCTGGGCACCTGTATCAGAGAAGACTTGGTGCAAATTCCTCCCATACCTGCCCCAGGCTCCCTTACTTCCAAGGAGACTTGCTCATGGCATCTGTGCTAGAAGAGAACACCTCTCCACTTCTTTTCCCCTCCTCTGGTCCTTCCTCACTTAGAATCATAGAATAGCAGAGTTGGAAGGGGCCATGAAGGCCATCAAGTCCACCCCCTGCCATTGCAGGACACCAAGTCACACCATCCCACTCAGAGGGCTTGATGTTTCTTCTTGAATGCCTCCAGTGTGGGAGAGCCCCCCACCTCTCCAGGCAGCCGGTCCCACTGTTCTATTGCTCTGACAGTGAGTGAGGAAACTTCTCCTGATATCTAGCCTGAACCCGGGTTGTCGCAACTTGACTTGATCATTCCGTGTCCTGCCCTCTGGCATCAGCAAGAGGAGATCTTGACCTTCCTCTTTGTGGCAGCCTTGGAGGGACTTCCAGAGGGATAACTCGCTTGCCGGGGTTGCGGTTCCAGAAGAACCTCTGGTTTTTTGCCTGTTGACTGTCCAGTAATGGCTCACCCCCAGCTTTGAGATGGACCCTAAAACACTGTTCACCGTTCACTCCCATGAACAGCCTTTCCTTCATGAGCTTGGCTAAGTGGAAGCACTGGGTTCGTAGGCGCCCTCAGCCAGGACATCTGCTTAGTGATGCCAGTGTTGGAATGACTTGGACTTGGGCCCGAAGGGACCGGTTGGGGCAGGCTGAGCCGGCCACCTCGGCGATTCCAAGCACAAGTGACACCTTTTGCCATCGGACGGAGAAAACACCCCGCCGTGTCTGGACTTGCAGCAGGAACTGTACCCTCGTTGAGCCAAGCGTCCCGCATTTTAAAATGGTTTGCAATAAGAAGGCTGGAAAGGGCTAAGGGGAAACGGAGTGGCTTCGGGGAGCTTGGCTGTGGGTGGAAACATTCTTTTTTCCTGGCCCAAACACCGTTTTCTCCAGAGTGTCCCAGATGCAGCGTTAGTCTTGGGCGTTCCAGGAAGGAAATGGCAGCTGTTCCTTTTTCCAAAATGAGTCCTAGTACAATGCTTGTGCCTGGGGCATTCTGGCGGGGGGGTGGGGGTGGCAGCTGGTGGGACAACATTTAGGGCAGGGAGTGTTTCGCCTTGACCCCGCTTCAGACTCCGTGCTTTTCAGAATGGCTTACCCTACGGACAGCACTGCAGCCTGAGCTTTTCGTTAAGATCTCCTTGATTTTTGCAGCCGCGAAACTCACAAGATCGCTGTGTTTTACATCGCCGAAGGACAAGAGGATAAATGCTCCATATTGTCCAATCCTAAGGGAAGCCAGGCTTACGAAGACTTCGTTGCCGGACTTGGCTGGGAGGTAAATGTTAACGAAGCATTCGTCCTTGAAATAATAGAATCAGAGTGTGGGCTTGGATTCACTGAGTGTCTGAAGTCCTGTGTTTACTTCTTGGCTGTTGGCCCCGGGAGGGAGGGAGGGAGGGAAACCCCCACCTACCTGCTCTGTGGAGCATGTGGCTTTCAGGGCTAGCAGTGGCTTTGAGCAACTCTGAGCTGCTGCTTCGTACACGTGCGGAACTTGGGTGCCACCATTCAGCCCGGCTTTCAGTGGAGGAGGACAACTGGTTTCAGCCATCAGAGCTGTCTCTGCATAGGACTTTCTGCTGAGTGCTAAAAAAAAGCTATTTAGACAACACCATTTTTAAAAAAAGGAGTAATGTCACTAGTCCTCATGGATACTTCAGGGTCAATAGGGATTGCTCGGAAGGAAGAGGGGCTGAGGAAGAACCTAGTTCTTCAAAGAATGGCAGTGACCTGTTTGTGCCCATCTGCCACCTGGAATGCCCTACCTTTCTCACTCGTCTGCTCCAGAGACAGGGTTCCTTCTTTGGTCCCTTGGCAGTCAGCAAGAAAGAACCCATGAGGGTGGGAAAAAGGGGAAGATGGAGTCCCCACCTTTTATGAGGTCATGACAGGTCTCCTACTTTTCCCATGGCTGCCAGACAGCACCCCAAGCTGCCTTGATGTTCATGGCCCTTTACAGAGCAATGCCATAAAAATGTAGGTACCAGTCCTGAATAGTCCAAAATTGAATTACAGTTGCAGAAGTCAGTTTCACGTGCCCTGTTACAGCGAGTCACTAAAAAATACAACCACAATTGCAGGATTTTAGATGCAAGAGAGAATATTACAAATATTGCATAAACTCTCAGAGGCTATGTTTTTAAAACAACCCATTTAATTACTACAACCCTTTTTAAAGTGGGCGGTTTCCAGAAATCTACAGTTGGTACTAAGATTAGAAATTAGCATGCAGCCAAAGAAGCATCTTTTCTTCTGTGTTGAGTTACCATTAGATGTTAATTCTGCGCCTCTTCATATAGAGATGCTAAGGAAATTAACTTCTGGCTAAGTTTGTTAAAGCTTAAAGATTAAGAATACATTCTCTGCCTTTCTTTAATTAAGGTTCATCTTTCAACTCACTGTGGATTTATGGGCGGCCTTCAACGTAACGGAAGCACTGGACAAACAGCACCTTACTACGCTACTTCGACGGTGGAAGTAATTTTCCATGTGTCCACACGGATGCCCTCTGATTCTGACGATTCCCTGACCAAAAAGGTAAGCGCCATAGCAGCTTGCTCCCTTTAAACATACTTGTGATAGAATATGCGTTTGCCACGTTTTGTCAAGCACAAATTAGATTCTACAGATTTATTAAAGGGCTGGAATAAAGCAGCACATGAAAATGGCCCTCTGTAGAGAGGCATATAAAAAAACAAGACTTGGGGCAAACCTGTCGGCCCTCAATCCTTAAAAGTTATGGGGTAAGTCAAATTTATAGCAGGTCTCAAGGAGTTCCTTCATAGATTCTCCAGTTTCCTGTATGCTCTACTTTTCTTCTGAAGGCTTCTGACAGCAGAAAAGATTGGTGTCCAGAAATTTTGATGGCCTTGGTGGGCAACCAGAACTTGATTGTTGTCAGGACCAGCTCTTCCCTGAAGGAATCTTATGCTGCGATTCCAAAGTACGGTATCAGTTCAGAACGGATCTCCTGTTTGCATCTCCAGGTCTAACCTTGGAGCTGGGGAGTTGATGGAGGGATGGAGAAAAGAGCCACCCTTCCCAGGCATCCTCTGAATCAAGGGTGAAAGGGAAGAGAGGTCGTCCTTCCCCAGCTCCAATCCCACCACTGCAGCTCCAGGGTTAGGAGGAAGCTTGGCATGTTTGCAGGCATGGTGAGCAAAGCCGTGGTCTCCCAGATATGGTGGTCCCGTCCCCTCTTGTGCCCTGGAATGGACCAGCAGCTGGACCAACTGCAGCTTCCGGACATTAGAGTATGTTCTCTCGCAAGGTTTCCCCAACGTGCAGGGACAGCTTATTGACATCACAGGGAGCGGCCTTAGGAAGGTGAGGAGAAGGAAGATGTGGGCTTAGCACTGTCTCGGGAAGCTGCCAGGGGGGCCTTTTGTTAGCATTGGCTTATGCACCACTTGTGTGGAGAACCCAGAGCTGGTGGTCCTCCACGCCCCCATCCTGTACCAGGAAGCTGGGCTGCCATCGCATTTCCGAGGCCAGGAAGGTGCTGGTATGCGCTTTGAGGCCCCATATGCTTCAGGGCCCGGTTTTTTAAATGCTGCCTGACACCTGTATGAACCTGCCTTGGCTCGTGTGCCTACCAATCCTGTCTATCAGCTGGTAGACTCAAGCGGCAGGGCCTTCTCTGTGGTCACCCCGCCATTGTGGGATGCCCCATGCTGGTCTGTGCTTTTGATTTCCTCCCTGACTGTTTTTGAAAAAAGTTTCGAAGACTTGTATGTTCTCTTCTGGTTTTATCTGTGTTTTTTTCAATGTTATAAACATGGGCATTCGTTGCTCTTTCAGACGCTGTAATTCTCTTGTAGCGACTCGCATTTTCTATTTTGTGGTTTAAAACTTCGCTTCTGAGGCTACCTCGAGGAAGCTGCCTTCTGCTTCAAAGGCAGCATCCAAATATTTAAAGTAAAAGTCCCTCTTCCTCTGCTGTCCTTCATCCTGGTTTGAGCAGGCTGCAAAAAGCTGAGGTCAGCAACCCCTTCCCCCACCCCAGCTGCTTTTCTCTCCAGCAAAAGAAGTTATCCAATATTACAAAGGAACCCTTCTACACATGAGCACTGAAATCCACCATCTCCTCCACCAGTTCAGAGGTGAAGATTGGGACACTCTCGCATCCAAGGATCATTGCCCAAGCCCCCACCCGGCTCTCCCAGATGGCCGTTCTCCTCTTGATACGGCCATACGGTGAAATAGGTTCTCGTGTTCTGGATTCAGTCTTGGCCATAGCAAACTTTTCAAAACAATGTTAGATTTCAAATGACTCCTGCTGTACGTATTTCCGGTTAGCTGGAGCTCGGTCCTACTCTGAAAGGCCCTGTCTGGATAGAGAGAGATTGAAAGTAAATTTGTGAAGGGTTAGGGTTGGTTGGGGGTGCTTATTTATCAGGAAAATGGGCAGCTTCCTTCTCAATGGGGCCCCGTAGAGGACAATAGACCAAATGGGGGCTAACCCCTGCCACAAAACAAGTCTGGAGATTTATTTTCAAGAGTCTCGCGAGTGTAACTTAAGCATGACTATTCCCCATAAATAAATGTTTAAAGGGTGAAATTCCCTCCATCTCTTCTGAGAATGCTTCTGTATTTTGAGAAGACTCGCTCCTTGTATTTCTGACATTCCAGGTGATAAGATTGTGCTCCTCCATTTTTGGGCTTTTTCTTTCTTGGCCAGTTTCCGAGCCCCGTAAACAGATCACGGAACAACTTGCTTAGCTGACAGACTCAGTAGCATGACAGAACGTCATAACCACCTGCCAGAAAATGCGTCCATTCGTTGGCAAGCCGTGTATCTTATGACCCACAAAATAAGACAGATGTCATAGTAATAATTATTGGAAAGCCTGTTTTTTCATGCAGAATACCCTCACATGCCCTCTAAAAGAAACAGGCTTAAGTCTAGTAAGGAATGCCTGTAAATTGCCATGGGATAAAATAATTAGGAACGTGCTTTTTAATTATCGAAAGCAATGCAGCATGGCTTCCTAACAGCCTGCTTAGAAACCACATTTTCATTGTGACTTTTCAAGTAATAGAGGGTGAATAGCCAAAAAAAAAAAAAAAAGATCGCCATTCCTGAGGGAGCTTAAGGGTTTATTTTTATGAGTAGAATTTCTCCCCCCCCCCAGCCCCCAACCACAGCTTTGCAGCCACATGGACAGTAAATAGCAGTAGCGACATCCCGATAGCTCCTTGTCAAAATTGTACATGGCTTACCAGATTAAAAAAACAATTAGCTTCAAAGAGTTTCTCAGTTCAGAAACCTGGTTATAACCCTCTATTGAACTCTTGCTCCTTTACTCAAGAAATTCATTAGTTATAGCCCGATTAGATTTTTAGCAGCTAATCTAACTGCTGGAGGGGTTTGCAGAGTAGAGACAGAGCAGTGCTATTGGATTTGTTCAATTCATTTGACTGCAGGACTATAATTGTGCTTATGTCTTACAACCCTTTTTATAGCCTGAGGCTGGCTGGCAACAGAAAACCAATTGGCGTTGAATACAGTAAGAGTGAAAGGGAATGAAAGACACACATTATCGGTCTCCAGGCAGTGTTGTTCTGGCAGGAAGTTTCTTGGTTAATTTACAAATAAAACTTAGATTTTAGGATGGGCACTCTGTCAGGCAGACAAAGGGGGTGTCAGGACCGGCCATTACTCAGTGGAAGTGGCAGCCAGGCCTCGCCGTACCCCGAGCAGAAGTTCTTCAATCACACAGACAACTTCTTTCTCGAACCAGCTGCCTCTGTAACACAATTAGCAGGGAAAGGAGGTCAAACCATTAGGCATGTATTCCATGACCGCTGTCAGCGCTGGTGTGTCGCCTGGCAGGCAGAGAGCCGAGCGCCCAACACAGAGTCCCTCGGACGCGATTTAATCAAGTGGGAGACGCAGAAAGACACGCGAGTTTGCCCCCAGCGTGCAGCTGTGTTTGCCAGGCCCGCAAAATAAGGCATTGTTCCCTCCGACATGGCAATTGCGGCTGGGGGAAGTAAGGCAGGGTGCGATGAGTAAAAGTCGAAGCAGGTTCTTCGTAGACCTGCGTCCTGTGAACAGTCACTTCTGTTGAATCCTAAACAGTGAAAAGATGCATCTAGCTAGTTTCTGCTCCTAATATTACATGCCCTATAGAAATTAATGCTTCCTTGTGAACATCCTCTGAAAAGGTTGCGCCATGGAGTAGCTACTAAGTGCCCCTGTTTTGCTATCTTAAAACAAACATCTACATTTATCCCTTTGTTCGTATTTGTTAGTTTAAGGTTACTTGTCTTTCATTATAAGCATCTGTTGCTTTTGTTTTCAGCGCTAGTATCCCTGGTGCTTTGTTACTGTCTGTGGTAGCAGGATGGTGCTGTTGATCAAAGTTGCAATATTATGAAGCATTAAAATGCTTTTGTACGGTGCTTAGAATTAAGAAATCATCTAATTATGTGGCCTTATAATGTTCAAGGTCCAGCCCTTCAGCAGATGTCTGCGCATTTCATTCATGGGAATTTGACAGCTTCCTGGGCTCATTGTTATGTTTTGGGACTACAATAGATTAAAACTAAAAATCGCTGCCCCTTCTACACACACACCAGTGTGTGTAGAAGAGATTCAGTGTAGCTCCAGTATCCTTAGTTCTTCTCACTCTTCCTTACCGCTTGGTTTTAGATATATTTGAACTACAAAACATATTTGATCAGCTTCCGTTCAGGCATTAGATTACACCTACGTGCCTGTTTTTGTCTGTATTCCCTGAATTATCTCCAGGTGGGTTTTTATGTGCTTTTTAGTTGCGTGGGTGTGTTGCTGCAGCCGAGATGGATGCCAGGGGCAGGGGTACTTGTTGGTATCATCGTTTTGCCAGCAAGGGAGTGGCTGGGTTGTTTCAAGGGACTGACTCTGTATAACCAGCAAATCCTCTTTGGGCAGCATCCATTGGGGCTTCCCAGGACCTCTGAATGTGGAGGAAGGTAGGGCCATCTGGACAGTTCAGTCGTAGTGGATACAGGCCAGACCTACTACAGAAAGTCATAGAATCATAGAAGAGTAGAGTTGGAGGGGGCCATGAAGGCCATCTAGTCCAGCCCCCTGCTGCTGCAGGACACCAAGTCACACCATCCCTCTCAGAGGGCTGCCCAGTTTCTCCGTGAATGTCTCCAGTGTGGAAGAGCCCACCTCCTCTCCAGGCAGCTGGTCCCAGTGCCGTATTGCTCTGACCATGAGGAAGCTTTTCCTGATGTCCAGCCTCAATCTGGGTTGTTGCAACTTGAAGTGATTATTCCATGTCCTACACTCTGGCAAGAAGAGATCGTGACCTTCCTCTTTGTGATAGCCTTATTTATTCATTTATTAGCTCCTCCTATTTTGATAACAATCTATTAATACTTTTTCAATTCAGCGAATGACATAGTAACACTTTCTGCTAGGCATTTTCCCACCATACAGAAATAGGAAAGTTTTTCTGCAATTAAGCCTTTCTACTACTTTTGACTTATAAGAAATTGGTGATTAATTTGGTTTTATAGAAGTATTTTCAGCACATGCAATGGTTAGATTCTGTTTCTATTCATATTTATTAGTGTAATGTCTCACCTTAATAGAATTTGAATGCCACAGGCTTGTTTCAGACAATCTGAAGAAATGCTTTCTATATAACTGTCGTTGCTTGCTTATTTTGTGTGACCTTTGTGAGGCCTTGCTTTGTTACTTTGCGGGTGTTCAAGGACAGGCTGGACGTGCACATGGCGGGCATGTCGTGAGCGGAGCCGGCTGGTGCCAGAGGTCAGACTAGATGACCCCGGAGGCCCCTTCTGACTCGCTGTGTTTCTGTGTTACTCTCAGATGCGCACATATCAGATGGGGAAAGGGGAGCTATCACTCTGAATGCTTTGAGATGGGACTTTAATCGGATAAATTCAGTTCTGTTTGGTGGAAAAGAGTGCTTGAGAAATGACAGCCAGGGAGTCGACAGTTGAGGCATTCAGACCCCTGGATAATCAGAGAAGGAAACACACACTTGCTGGCTCATGTGTGGTGTTTTGGAAGGGCCAGGAGAAAGTGAGTAGCTAAGAGCATCGTAAGCTGCTCCCTCTCTGTGGGATAACCTTGCGTGTCTGGTGAAGATCAGGAACAAGGAGCAGGGATTATGCCAAGAGGCTGAAGATTAAACAAGCCGGGAGCAAAAACCCAAACAGCAGAACATACCACAGGAGGCGCTCGAGTGTGTTTGAGGAAGGCTGCATGCAGCAGCTGGAGCTGGCTCGGAGGGTCTGTGGGTGGAGAGCCTGAGCGTCCGATCTGGGACCAGGGCATTGAGGAGCTTGCAGCGATCAGGGTGCCTGCTTCAGCCCTTAAGACATCTCACTAAGCACTCGTGTAAAAACCCCAAAGTAACTATGAGTGTGCCGTGCCATACAAAGTATCCCTGTAATAAATAACTTGTTTAATTGCACTTCTTGTCCACAGTGTTGAGAAGCATTTGTTATCCATAAGAAACTCAATGGATTGCCCAGTGAGGAGGCAATTTCCTCCACCTTCTGGTGGAAGTGCCGGAGAGAAGAAATCCCCCTTGCTTGGGTTACATAGAAACATAGAAACAGAGCGAGTCAGAAGGGGTCTCCCGGGCCATCTAGTCTGACCCTGACTCCAGCCGGCTTCGCTCACGACATGCCCACCATGTGCACATCCAGCATCTCCTTGAACACCCGCACCAATGGGGCCTCAACTGCCTCTCATGGAAGCCCATTCCACACCCTCGGGGTCCTGACCGTCAGGAAGTGCTTCCTGGCATCCAGGTTGAACCTGGGTTCCCTGAGCTTTGCTCCGTTGGAGCACATCCTGCCTTCCTCTGCAGGGGAGAACAGGTCTCTGCCCACCTCCGTGTGACACCCCCTCACATACCTGTATGTCGCCCACAGATCCCCTCGGAGTCGCCTCTTCTCCAGGCTGAAGAGACCCAGCTCCCTCAGTCTCGCCTCATACGGCATCCCCTGCAAACCGGCCACCAACCTTATACACAATAAGGTTACAATCCTGTGTATACAGGAAAAAAGGCTTAAAATTTCCCAGCATTCCCCACCTAGCATCAATGGCTAGGAAATGCTAGGAGCCACAGAATGTTTCTCTATGAATACGCTCAGGTTTGGAGCTTCAGTCATCCTCTTAAGTTTCTAACCCACCCCCTACAAATGTCTCGGGACGGCTTACAATAAATGAGTAGAATAAACCATAAATATAGCCTTTATTTGATCTAACTTCTTAATTTGGACAGGGGTTTCTTTTGTTGTAACCGTGTTTTGTGCTGATTGTCTTGGCCCTTAGTTAAAGAATCAAAGAACCAAAACGGATCTGTTGATATTGGATTTTTTTGAAACGTTTCCTATCATGAGACCACTCTGTGGAGGAGCATAGGCTGCTGGAAGGAGCCCGCACTCTTTAGTGCCTGACTCTCTGCCACATGCCGCAGGGTTCATCCCACGCTCTCCTCACACTACTTCAGCCATTAGATCCAGATTTCGTCAGGCCGGTTCTGTCTCAACTTGTTTATATGTTACCATTTCCCTACTTTCTGTGTGTTTGTTGAGTGTGAGTGTGCTAAACTTGTGGTACTCTTGTGGGATCAGATGCGTCTTCGTAGACGGCTGGAGAAGCGGTGGCGTTCTGTTAGGCCTGTAGTAACCCTGGAGCAGAAGATCCTTCGGGTGCTGCCCTTCCACCTTCTGCAGCAGCTTCTCTCCAAATGCAGCTCCCCCGCTTCCCCTGTCCTGTCCTTTGTGGGGGAAATAGATTGAAGAGTCTTTTCAAGCCTCCACAATGTCTTCTTTGGGCTCTTACCTCAAGAAAATGCGAGCGGAGGCTCACCAAGACAGCTGCTCCTGGTCATTCGGCTAAAGGGCCAAATGGGCCTCCCGGTGTTATCATGGGACCTCTTCTGGATTAGTTTGGATGAAGCGGTACAACTCGGGTTGATCAAGCCTGACCAAGGGCGTGGTAGGTCATAAGCTGAGCTCGGAAAACTCAACAAAGTACGTGAAAGGTTGTCACAAAGAGGAAGGGCAGGTTCTCTTCCTCAGCACAGAGTGCTGGAATAATGGGCTCCAATTGCAGGAAGCCACATTCTGGATGGACATCAGGAGGAACTTCCTGACGGTGAGAGCAGCACAGCCATCGGACCCGTGGCCTCGGGAGGTGGTGGGCTCTCCCACCCTGGAGGCATTCGAGATGCAGCTGGGCAGCCCTCCCAGAGGGATGGTTTACGTCTGAGTCCTGCACCGAGCAGGGGGTTGCACCCGATGGCCCCCTGGCAGCTCTGCTAGTCTATGGTTCCGTGTCCACTCAGAGGAAAAGCAATTTGTGTTGAGTAGCCTTCCTCACGAGCAGCCGCACTGACTTCAGGGGAGCTTATCTGTGGGGAAGTCATCCCAGGAGCAGGCCTGTCGTGTGTCTGCCCTCGGGTGCCAATGAATGCGGATTTATTTATTATTTATTTATTAAAACATTTATTTATTAAAACATGAGGATTGCGGCCTCACTGGCTCCAACCCGTGCGAGTGACAACCGCACACTGCACCAGCACCTTTGTGTTCTCCTTAATTCGTGTGAGGGGCAGACGATGCCATCCCCCCTCCCGCCCCTTTTCTTGCAATAAAAAGCTCTGCTTGTTTGCTCCTGCAAAACCTAGGACAATTTCCTCGTGTGCGCCCCCTTTTCCGTTCCTCCTGCTCCGCTTGCAGATGCGCTTATGTGGAATGCAAGGTCACAGTGGAAGCTTGTGCCTTGTCCATCAGCAACTGTGGCAAATGTGTTTGGCGTCAATACCTAGACCATGCACCTTCACAACTGGCAGGAACTATTATGTACACCTCCCACTAGTTTTTAGTTGCTCATAGGATATTTGACTTTTTTTTAAAAAATGTGACAAATTCTATGACTTTAAAATTACTACTGTTGCCTACATGTACGATCTAACAAAACTAAGCAAAAGTATCTCATTTTCTGTCTTGGCCCTAAGTTCTGTGAGTCTGGAAACATGTCAAGAAAAGTAGCTTGTTTCAGGTTCATTCGAATGTTCTGGTTTTGAGCTATTCTGCAAAATGCGCTAAATACAAAATGCATTAAGCACCACGGAAAAGGCCAATTTCCATGGCAAACAAAAGAAGTTAATAAAGGAACATGTTTTCTCCCAAATGGAGTAGTTTTGGGCCAAGCTATTTATCACGAACTCTTCCATTCCTTCAAAAACCATGATCTTTGAACTTACAACAAACCCAGCTTACTGTCCAAGCACGCAGTCGTGAGACAGCCATCGCTCCGGACCAACGTTTTTAAAGCTACGTTCTACAGGCTCTGGGCTGGAGAACAGCAAGTGGCACTGCAGGAGCTTGGCTTTAGCTGTAATTGCATCATTTTATGCAATATGTGTTTTATACCATTCCGAAGTAGTTTATGCTGTGAGGTAGCACCAAGTGAATGGTCGTAGGGTTGAAATTAATCTTCCCGTTTTTAGACTCAGCCTTAATACTGACAAATCACTTAGATTACCAAATGGTGACACAATCTTTCCAGCCAGAGTCCCTCAAATATTTTTTAAGAAAAAATCTTTGCTTGCTTTTCAGTGAGCAGAAAGCAACCAACCAAGGTAGAGTTTTCTTGACATATATCTACCATCGCCATGAAATTCAGTTTTTCCAATGTAACTCCTCACACTGGTTTTGTCATTCTGATTAATAGCAAGCCCATTTTCCTTTTCAGCTTCGTCACTTGGGAAATGACGAGGTTCACATCGTCTGGTCCGAACATACCAGAAATTATCGGCGGGGCATCATACCGACAGAGTTTGGAGATGTCTTAATTGTTATCTATCCCATGAAGAATCATATGTTTTTCATAGAGATCATGAAGAAACCAGAGGTATGTTTTGAACATTTTATTAGGTCTAACCTATCCAGTGTTTTTATTATTATAATATAATCATGATTTTTATACTCAACCAAATCAATGTTGATGGGAAAAGGCTGAATTTATCCCCCCCCCCCCTTATATCAAACAGGAAAATCAATGTGAGCCGTTTCCTTTGGAGTACTTTCAAGAGAGTCTCATCTGGCCCTCATTCCCCAATATTGTCTATTTTCTGATTATTTTGCTGCTTTTATGCTTTTTAAAATATTTGTTGTATTAAGCTTACTTTTATTTATTAGTTATTTATCATGCCCTGAATATTTTATTGCAAGTTGCCCTAAAAACACACCCGGAAGACAGGCTATGAATCTCAGGTTTTGTTAATTTCAGGACAGTTTTTTTTCTTGCTCTTTCCCCTGCCCCCTTCAGGGGGGTGGATCTTTTTGCTGTTGGTTTGCTGCTTGTTTTTTGTTTGCTTGCTTTTGTGTTCATTTGTTTCATTCCATTTTGTATTGGTGAGGTTCACAATAACAAATGAGAAGAAGATAAATAAACGCATTTGTCTGTCCCAGATTGTGTTCTTAGCTGGATGGGTTTCTAACCTGAGGCACACGATGCGTGGATATAAATAAGAGTTCTGGAAAGCAAACCCAAGTAAAATCAAATAACTTAAGTTCTGCTTCACAAGAGGCACAGTTGAGTGGAACAGGTAGCACTTCAAATGGCCCTCAAGAAGCTCAGATTATCTCTGTCCTTCGTGAGTGAAAGCTGCTTAGCTGAAGGGCTTAGTCCCTTCCATAGCTGTTGACTCCAGCTAAGGGTCGGTGATGGTCTTTTGGGGGCTGGAATCCTGAACCCAGCAATACGATCTCCCAGACAAGATTGTCGCTTGTTAAATTGATTCCCTCTTCCCTGAAGGTTCACCAGGATTGGAGACTGCAATGGCCAGTCCTGCTCCTGCTTTGATGCTTCCTCTGAATTCACAGTTTCCTTCAACACAAAAGCCACCACGTGCTGGCATTCTTATACCCCGCTTTCCATGTTCTGCTAAGAAGCTCAAACCAATACTGAGAGTTTGAAAGGCTTTAAAACATAAAAACAGGTACCCAATAAATACAGGGGGGAAATTCAACTCAAAGAAAGAGCCAGCCAAGCATCAAATGTTGAATCAAAGTAGCTCCACCAGTTCTCAAAAATAGAAGGAACAAGCTAACTTGTCTGGGAAAGACAATTCTGAGCTTTGGCACCACATTTGAGAAAGCCCTAAGCCCTACATGAGTGCTTTGCCCTGCACCCCTAGAAAATGTTTGATTTCAGTTCATACCCCCCTACAAAAGTCATATCACATTGGAAGATGAAGAAGTCAAATTTCCAATCTTTGAACCATTTTGACTCAGCCCAGAAAATTCAAATATAACTTGAGCAATTACAAAGAATGTAAACAGAAAAATCAGTCCCAGTCGTGGACATGAAATCCAGTGACTTCTTGGTTCCTGGTTCTCATTCATGATTTTGTCAAACTGTGGATTCCAGCAATTCCTAGGTTCTGCCTTGATTGACAAAAGAGAACTGAATCCAAATGCAAACAAAATAATAACGATAATAAATAACTTTATTATTGGGGTAATTTTTGGCAACAATATTGCGATTTGCTGATTTCTGTGATGGCGCCTTCCTCTGTTTTGCACCCCCTGAATTGCCAGGATCTCCCTGTGCCTGCAGTCATTTCCATCTGCATAAATGCTAACCTGACATTCCCAGCTAAGCTGGTTCCCCACCTGCTCAGAAGCCACGGCGTTTGCACAGTTGATACAAACCTTCCCAATCCATCTTTCAGAGCACCCTGTGGGGAAGATGTTCAGTTTGGGGAAGAGATGCCGCTCCCAAATGTGCTCAGATGTGATGGCAGGCAGATAAATCCCCACCCAGCTTCCTGGGAGAGATCTGGCTGCTACCTGGAGGCGTGGTGGTTCCCTAGAAAATGAAAATGTAGCCCCAGTTCAACATCAGATGCTCTCTAGTGCACGGAAGGGCAAGCATGCTCAGAATAGCACGAGCTAAACTGCATCAGCGTGAAGGGTGGATGTACCTCTTAGAAAGATTCATCATTTCTGGAAGCATGTTTTCAAAATTCAGCTTCAGGGGTTTTGCTTTGTTTGTTTTTAGCATCCCTCTGGCTTCCTGTTAGTTAAAACTTTTTCTCATACAGCAAAAGTTACTTCCATCACAATCTTAGATCAGTGTACTCACAATGAAGCAATGCATTGATTGACTTTGAAATAACTTGTCAAGCTATACATTCCCGGAGGTTTGGTTTGGTTTGGTTTTTTAACTTGGGCTCCGGTTTTTGGCCACAGTCCTTTGTGGTCATTGGAAGACCACTCCAGAAGTTTGGATGAGTCTTTGAATGTGTACAGTCAGCTGCAGCCAATAAAACAGATGGAAAAAACACCCCTTTGTGTGAGTACAGGAATTTTATGCTTGGGATTCGAGCCATAGACTTAAGGGGAACAACAGAGATAGAATGCTAGTAGATCCATTCTGCAGTCTTCAGAATACTTAGAAACACCTCAAATTTTTCATTGTTTGTTCCCTGGAAAGCCCAGTAAAAGTTCTTGGAAATCGAACTGAAGAATGGGAATAACTGCATTGCCTTCAAGGAGATCTGAATTTCATTCTTAAACCTGTTGACAAGTTCAAAAGTTAATGAGAATCTGTTGCCCATTCTCAGAATAATTGTTCCCTAATTTGTTTTTTATTTGAATACAGTGGTACCTCGGCTCATGAACTTAATCCATTCCAGGAATCTGGTCATGCCCCAAATTGGTCGTGAGCCAAGTTAAATTTCCCCATAAGGTTCAATGTAAATCAGGTGAATCCATTCTGTAACTATTTTTTTAATCAGAAAAAAATGAAGCAAAGTGACAAAGATCGTGGCCATCGCCCCCCCACCACACCCAACGCACGAGCGTGGCCATCCCCCCCCCCCCCCCGCACGAGCACAGTAGTGAGCACAGCCATAGACAGGCGCATTTGCAGAAGCCCTCGTGGGGGGAGCCGGGCGCGATTGTGCTGGTGGGGGGGGATGGCCGAGATCGCACTTGCGCTTGTGCAGGGAAGACAGGCGCGATCACGGCCATCTCCCCACCCCACCCCACAAGCACAACCGCAGTTGCGCCTGTCTTCCGTGCACGAGTGCAATCACGACTGTGGCCATCTCCCCGCTGGGGGGGGGGGGGGCGGATGGCCGCGATCGCGTCATCACCAAATGCGGAGTTTGTGACCTGAGTCAAAATGTTTATGAAATTTTTGTTCGCATGGACTGAGGTGTTCATGAGCCGAGGTACCGCTGTGTAAGTAGGCCATGCCTGACATATTATTTCCCATGTAAATAATGATCTTCACAGAGAGGACCTCAGTACAATTAGGATTTCATTCAGGATTGCCTCACGTCACTTTTAGCCTCAGTGCTTAATCTACGTGTTTAAAAAATGTGGTTTTTATACTGGCCGAGTGGTAGCACAGCACAGAATTCAACCTTTGCCTCTTGAAGAGCTAGCGTGATTTCAAACATAGTGGTAGATATCTAATCATGCATCGTTGGGAGTCTGTTGCCTCTTCGCCGTTTTTTAGGTAGAACCTTGGGCCCAGGGCCAAATCCAGCACCCCAGTGGTTGTCCAGTCCACCATGGGTCGTCTGGATGTAGGAGAGCAATTTCGTCATGGATGGCGGGGATTAGTTCTGCCCTCTTTACAATCCTGTTTTGCTGCTGTTGGTAACAGCCCCTTCACCAATGCCCAAGCAGTGGTTTTCCGTGGTTTTAAAAACTATTCTTTCGGACACAAAGAAGTGCACATTTATGGTCTTCCTTCTCCCTCCACCTCTTTTTGGTTAGTCATTCCAAAGTGTGCTTCTAATACTGTTGAATATAGATAGTCTCGGCTGGTCAATTTCATTCTGTTTCAGCTACGGAAGGGAGACGGAACCTACAAGGAAATCGGCAAGAGAAACCACCTATGATTGAACTTTCTCACAGTTGTCAGGAACCAGTTGTCAACTTTAAGCTGAAAGTTGGATGGAAAGTGACAAAAGAAAGTGTACCAAAAGGGTGTGCATGTATAGGGGTGGACACAATATTTCTCACTTCGCAATGCATTCTTCCTGGTGTTCTCCATGCCCAGCCTTCCCAGGTAGTACAGAAAAGCGAGACATTAACTCCCCTGCTTTTCACAGCTCTGTTTTAAGTTACTTCCAGCTTTGCTTCGTCATCTCCAATGCACTTCCTCAAAATACGCACACAAATTTAATGAGTGGGAAGTAAACGGAGGGGGAAATGCAGACACCTACAATGACGGGACGGTTTCCACAGATGCACCAATTTACCCTCCATTATTGCGGTGTTTCCCGGTTGGTGACTCGGCCAGCAGTCACTAACAGTTGTGTGCAAATTAGCCTATTTGAAATCACACGTCAGTTTCCATGCGTATCGCCTATTCCACTCCAGTGCTCCCTTTGACAGCTGAAATATACAAGAAAATTGACCGAGGAAGAGTCCCCACGCCAGGAGGCCCCCAAGCTCCTTTGCACAATCGCAGAAGGGAGAGGAGGAAAAAAAGAACAAACTGAATGCATTTGCAGCAGGTTCTGGGGCCAAAGAAATGACCGTTCCAGTGGTATGTTTCTTAACCTCTGAAAATCAAGAAAGGGCAAACCAGAAGAGGTTCCCACCAGAGCCGAGGGGAATGAAGGCGAGGTTTCCCACGAAGGACACCGGGACGCTCACTGGATGAGTGTAGGGAGGATGGAAAGAACAACCCATGGTGAGCCCAGGTCTCCTCCAGGCCCACACTTGGTTGTCCCACAAACAACCCACACCTGAACAGCTTATTCACAGGGTGGCTTAATGTGTTGTGCAAACACAGCCGATGTATGTTCTGCTCCCTGTACGGCCGTTTACTCGGCACAGCTATTGTGTCCGAAGCACAATCACTCTTGCAAAATGTGTGGCACG